AGAGTTTCCTATACGTAATGTTTTCACCTGAACATATTCAGCTGTTGTTCTGTCCTGGATTTCTGCAGAACCATCCCGTTGGGTTCCCTTTGTAGCAAACTGCGTTGCCAAAATACAGAACACAGTTCCTAGTGTTAGGTGGAACTATATCAATGGAAAGCTGAACCCAGCTGATTCAGGTACAAGAGGAATGTTACCAGCCGAATTTCTGACTTGTGAGCGATGGTTCCTGGGACCTACTTAGCTATATTCATAAGGTTTCGAAAAATGTCCTGACAGCGAACATCTTTGTGCTGATGTAGATTATGAAGGTGTTCGTACAGAAGAGAGAAAAACGTGCATTTCAGTATCTTGTACAGTAAAGGAAAATGACGCTTTTAAACGGTATTCATCTTGGACAGAATTATGTCATATAGTTGCTTTATGCCTAAGATTCATTTAAAACTGTCGAAACTCCTCCGAAAATCGTTTGAGAGGTTTTCTAACAATCGATGAGCTTAGATTAGCTACAAAAGCAGTGATAAAAAATGTCCAAGAATTTTACTTTCCTCAAGAGCTCTCTTGTTTAAAAACATCGAGAGAATTAAAAAGGTGCGAGCAGTCTAGTACAATTAACTGCCTTCCTTCATGAAGCAGGCGTCATTCGAGTAGGTGGTCGCTTAAATGCAAACATTCCTGAACATAGTAAACATCCTATTTTGCCTCCAAAGGAAGGACATGTCAATAATCTCATCGTAACTCATTACCATGTCAATTATTTGCATGCTAGTCAAGAGTTATTGATAAGCACTTTACGAATGCAATTTTGGATTCTTTCGGTGAGAAGTGTAGTGAGAAAAAAATAATTCACAGATGTATTCCTTGTATTAGAAATCGAGACAAGACTGTGACCCAGATAATTGGTGATTTACCCTCGCCAAGAGTTTAACCATCAAGAACTTTTGCAGTCACCAGTGTAGATTATGCTGGTCCATATTCAATTAAGTCCTAAGTTGGAAGAAGAGCTGAAACTTTCAAGTGTTACGTATCCATTTTTGTGTGTTTCTCAACAAAAGCTGTACACTTGGAGTTAGTCAGTGATCTATCAACTTCAACATTTTTAGCAGCTCTAAAAAGATTTATCACTCGACGAGGCAAACCATCTGAAATTTCGAGTGACTGTGCGACGAACTTTTAAGGTGCTAGTAATGAACTGAAGGAGATTTATAAAATTGCATTTCGCATCGAGAAAAGCAAGGAAGTTGTGTAACTACATTACCTCAAAAGGTATAACTTGGTTATTTAGCCCTCCGACATCTCCTCAGTTTGGTGGCTTGTGGTAATTTAATGTGAAATGCATGAAATTTCATCTTAAACGAGTATTAGGATCCATACTTCTGATTTACGAGGAATTTTTAACAGTGGTTGCACAAGTGGAAGCGTGTATGAATTCCCGTCCTCTATCTGCGATGTATAGTGATCCAAACGACGTTAGTGTATTGAATCAAAGTCATTTTCTGATTGGAGCCCTTGCCATTCCTGAATCTGACTTAAATGATGTGAAATCTTCAAAACTTAAACGTTGGTTTCTAGTTCAACAGACTGTGCAATATTTTTGGAAATGATGGAGTGCAGAGTATTTAACAACCCTTCAATAACGTGCTAAGTGGTTCCGTGCGTCTCCAAATCTAAAATGTGGTGACTTAGTTCTGATCAAACACAAACAACTGCCTCCAAAGCAATGGAAAATTGGACGAATTGCCTTAATTCATCCAGGCAACGACAATAAAGTTCGAGTGGCTACAGTCCATACAGACGCTCATGATTTCAAACGAGCTGCTACTAAATTGTATCTTATCCTCAATCATGACTAATATGAACTATTGACTTTTCTCATATCATTGAACTTTATTTTTAGTTATATTTTCATTTTTTTTTCTAATGTTATTATGTGTGCTTTAACTATTTGTCTTTTTTGAACACTTAAAAGGCTTCAAGGCCGGGGGCTATGTTTAGTATTTTTGTTACCAAACAAATTTCTAGTGTGGCTTTGCAGCAATAGATGGCGCTACTGCCTCATGATTCAATTATGGTTGCTATGGTAACGAACTTTTCAAGTATGTGAGCTATTCTTTTGTATTTTTTATTGCTACAGTGCTTTGAGTGATGTGTGCATAAAATGCTGTGTCGTCACGTGGACGGCATTTCTTCTATTTCAAAGTGTTGTGTAAAATAAATAAGTGTTACAGTCCGCTTTGTTTTTGTGAACTTATTCATAATTACCCTGTTTCCAGAAATTTTTTTTCACAACATTTACATATTTTTATTCGTTCTCGAAATCGTCCTAAAAATATGTTTATATCCTTTGTATTATTCACTCTACTTTACCTAGTCTTATTGTCAGTATTTCTGTAACTTGTCTTTAACGTTAAATGCTAGCCACTTCTGCTTTAAAATGCCAAACATCATGGGATGCATGTCTAATATCATGTGGAGCCTTCTTTAGCTCGGCGAATGCAGCAGCTTGTCGGGAGAAGTCCCCAGAAGAGATGTTCAGGTATGTGTTTCGATGGCCGTCCATAATTAAGTGGTTGTAGTAGTAGGTGCTGAATATTTTGCATAAATGACCCCTCCGAACAAACGTGCGCATTATCATCCTACAACGCCCCATGTTGATTGGTGTTGTTAAGCACTTAAAGGGCTGGAAATGGTCAACACACAGTTGACTACCCAAATTTCCTGTTAAGTATTGGTTCAATTTTCATAGAGGATCCAATCTATGCCAAGCACATGCGTCTTATACCATTATGGAATTACAATACAGTAAGACCCCGCTTAACGCTGTTTCGTTTAGCGCTGTTTCGGTTTAGCGCTCTTTTATTTCAACCCGGAGATTCTCCGAAATTGTGCGCAGCGCTAGGTTTCCAAATAACATATCCGAAACAGTGTAGTTGTTTTCTTGGTTGGTGGATTTTTATCATTTGAACATTTTTGACATTATTGTAAGTTTAAATTTGTATAATACTATAACGATTATACAGTGACAAATATTATGATCTTTAGTTTTTATCATGGGTTGATAATAAAAAACAAGAAAAGAAAGCAACCAGAAAAAGCATTTCACTGGAAACTCAAATGCAAGTGATTAGAAGATTAGTTCTGGTGAACGTCAATCTCAAATTAAGTGCTGCCATTGATTTTGGCAACTTCAACAATAAGGAAATTTTAGAATAAAGAAAAAAATACTGTCATCGGCAACTGCAACTACGTCAAGCTCTGCAACTAGAATTACCCGTTCTAGAAATAACATTATAGAAAAAATGGGAAAACGACTGTCTATATGGAATTGACGACGAAATTGAACGCAATATGCCATTAAGGCAATCCATCATAATGCCTTCTTAACAAAAAGGCAGAAAATTGGAAACCCAGAATAGACTGAATGATCTGACTGAGAATTTTTATTTGTTTTTAAAAGTAAATGCTTTATCTAGTTTTTTTTTTTTAAGAAATAAATTTGATTTTATTTTTATTAAAAAACATTATTAAATTTAATGCCTAACCATTTTTTATCTGTCTTCCCCTAACCCCCTTATTTACATGTTAAGATAGCCTCGCTTAGCGCTGTTTCGCATTACGCTCTACTTCGATGGAACGTATCCCCTGCGTTAAGCGGGGTCTTACTGTACTTGCACGATGCTTTAGTGATAAAGTTGGAGCCATAACATTATTAGATGTGCCAAACTTGAATCACATAATTAGCCCATATCATCTGGAAACATGAAACGTTTCATCAAGCCAATTTCTTTCTAGTCATCTAGAGCAGTGCTCCGCAACCGGTGTACCGCGGCACACTGGTGTGCTATGAGTAGGATATAGGTGTGCCGCAATCAAATACATGTATTTGATATTTTGCCAATTTTTATCATGTATTAATACACAATGACAATTTTTTTCCTTAATAATGTCTATTTTAAATGATTTTATATATTTCAAAGTTGTGTGGTTGTGTGTGTGATTGTAAGTGTGTCAGCATTTGAATTTTTTCGGCACTTCCTTGATAACTCGGAACTCTTTGGTGTGCCACGAAATTCCAGAAAGATTTTTTGTGCGTCGCAGGTGAGAAAAGGTTGCGGAGCACTGATCTAGAGTCTAAAACATGTGTTTACGATCCCAGGTGAGGCACTGAATCCGATACTAGCTGTAAGGCACTCAATGTTTTCCTACTGCACCATTCCATTTACATCTTCGTTACACAACCCTCCAGACTTAATACATCTTTCATTAACTTTGCAGTTAGTTTGCAGATTCATTCGTCTGTTAGCATGAACGATTCCGCTCAAATGTCGCTGGTTCCGATCATTCAGCAGACGTGACACTGCGCTATCCTTCATGGGAAGTAATGCCTTCCATAATGGTATGTTTTTGACACTTTAAAATGGAGAATCTTAAAAGTCTCAATAATTTACGAAATTCTGATGCTATGCATTAAGCTCCGATGCATTAAGCTATCATCATGCTTTAATATTCATTTAATTCTCGTTAGATAGCCATTACCACATTATTGACCGCTTCACAAGAAAAATCAGATAGTTGTTAAAGATAATTGTTTAAAAATCAGATAGTTGTTAGTATTGTCCAACGGACAATACTAGCAACTATTTGATTTTTAAACCTTTTTAATGTGATGCGATTCTAACTTGTATATTTGCTACTCCATTACTTTTGTCACTTCACTGCTACTCCATTACTTTTGTCAGGTCAACGTAATAAATATTAAATATTTAAAAGTTAAGAGTAACATTTTTACCACTCAGAATAACTGTGTTACAATCTTGTAAAAACCAAGATCAGAATTCAAATTTAAATTCTTTTAAAATCAGGCAAAAAGTAATCTTTAATTGGCATAAATTTTAAATATAACTGAAAATGTTGCTTGAAATATCATTTCTGCATGTTTACGAAAATTCCATTTTTGAAACAATATTATTTGACATTTAGATGGTATAAGAGCTACTTACTAGTTATGATTTCATCTTCGCTTTCACAGTTGGCTATTAATGATAAGTCACTATCAGAAGAAAAAAACTGTAACTCTCTCTCTTCGAGGTCGTAAACACCTTGGTCCATCTTTGTACATGTACAGCCCAAGACATCGCCGAAGAAGGGACTTCTCCTGAATTTTTCGTATAATAAAATAATAATGTACATTCATATTCTTTACTTTGAAGTAAGCACTTTAGTATTAAAACAGTAAAATTTGTTAATTTATTTATGTTCTCTCACAATTTATTCCTTTTTTCACACTCACACTAACCATCTTAAGAAAAGAGAACAAGAAGTAATCTCAAATGGAGCTAGTATGCAAATAAGTTATTTATTTAAGCTAGCATGAAAATATTTTTTTGCTAGAAGACAAGTTGTTACTGGTTGGTTCTGCTGTTACTGCGTATACTTTCTTGCTTCTTTTAAGCAGTAGAGCTGATGATCAGTTGATTCAGTCCAAAAGCTGAGCTTTTGAAGTTGACTTACACCCACGCAGTTGCAGTAGCCATAGGTGCCGAATGAACGTTTGAAGTGCGGCTGTTCAGATAGAGAGCACTTTAATTTTTAATTCATTAAATGTACAATAAGAAAACTATTTTTCATCACACATACTTGAAACTTTGATGTTTTAAAATTATAGCTTATTTCCACAGAATTCGTTTTGTTTTGCATCTGAGCCTGAGCTCTGAAATCTTTAAATATGCTCAAAAGCTGGCGTTTTACATATCTTCTGCTGTTCAACTTTCGATAGAACATTGTCTCTTTCCACTGTTTGAAACAGAAGTTTTTGTGTGCGAGGGCAAGCATTTTTAACAAGAGATGCTTGTCAACCATTAAAAATGAAAAGGCGAGAACAGAAAATCCAGAACTTCAAATAAATGATGATCAAAGATTCAGTCTTTATTACAGAAAGCGGAAAGCAATATGCCCAGTATTACATGATTCATCATATTCATATTCCAATATATTACATTCATAGATGTTTTGTTCAGCTACAAACGCTCGGATATTTTAAATCTGAGATCATCAAAGTATTTAAAAAGATGTATATTCTTCTGCTCATCTTCCGACAGATCACTGGCCCACCAGCGGCCGAGCGGTAAAGTCGCTGAACACTGTAGTTCGGTCCGAGGTTCGAATCCGCGAACGGGCTGTGCATGGGTTTCGTGGTTTTCCCATGTTTAACGTGTATACGAGCCATTTCCCCCTTAGAAGTCCTCCACGAAGGCATCCCTCCCCTTATGCAGATAGCCCTAGTGTGCTTTGCCATAATTAAATAAACCAAAGCAAACCAATCCGATAGATCACTATCTTGAATGGATACCTTTGCGAACTACTCACAATCAAAAAGCGAAACTGGGAGAGGAAAGCACTTCAAACAAATTCTGATGAAGATCGGAGATTAAACCTTCAAGGACAATTCAGCACCCGCTTGTGTTACAAAAAGGAGCTTACACTGGCTGTAGACTATCATTTTGTGCACCAAATACAATTGTACGTATCCAAATGATCAGAAGGTTGTTGATGCGTGTTCCTTGATCTATTGCACCAAGATATTTTACTGTACATTTATTTACAAGTCGTATGCCACCTGCATGTTTACAACCGTTATGCCTCCTGGCTGTACATGATAGACATATTCTGCCACCTGGCATGTGAATTGATACATCATACTAGTTTTCGCCACCTGACAATACGATGCAATTACCTCAATTAGCGGTAATACGTCCGACATTTTGGCGTGTCCGCTTCCCTTACGTTCTGTAACGCAACTAACTCTTTGTGCGGTGCGCCCTCTGGGCACAAATCACCGCAAATACCGAGGAAGCCAAAACAACAATGGACATTATATTGGCCTACATTACAAAGGATTCCTGCATTATAACCGAAGTTTCAGTTGTACATATCAATGCTTCTTTCTATTCGACGCTGTGGTGTTCGCCTAACTCATGAACATATGTAAGGTTGCTATTTATCTAGAAACTAAAGTTAAATCCAACAGATCCTACTAGAAAAGTTATCGAGTTGAATGTTGAAATTTTGTACATGGGACTGCTATAGTTGTGCATCCCCCCTTTTCGTTGCAATCAGCTGTTTCAATCGTCTAACTTTGCAGCAATTGCGCAAGTAATAATAACTTGTATTCGCACTAAATGGATTTAATTTCTACAACTTTGATATGCTAAATAGCAGCTATTAGCGCTTTATCTTTACTAATGTACACCCTTTATATATTATCTCCATCCTTTTTAAGTTTTAAAGTTCTTATACAAAAACTTTACTGTATTGAAACTCCAGTCCCCGTTAAAACATTATTAACATTTTGCTTTCAAATTACTTCAAAACATCTTTCAAAATATAACGTACCAGTATGGATGCACATTTTTAAAATAATAATTCTACTTTAATTAAACTTAGGAGATAATATAATCAATTAATCAATACTGTTTAGGAAATAAATTATTATTAACTAACTTTGCAGCAATTGCGCAAGTAATAATAACTTGTATTCGCACTAAATGGATTTAAGTTCATACAACATTATATATATATATATTCCCTTTCTGTTACCTGGCTCGGTGAGTTTACTTTTTTTTATTCTTATGTAATGGCAAATTGTGCTTTTTTTTTTTTTTTTTGCTTTAAAAGTGATTGAATTATGTAGTTTTTATCTTCTGGTAAATCGCTACGTCTGAAATATGACGGTGGCTTGGAAGGTTTTTAAATAACCTTTTTTAATTTAATCTTGAATTTAGAACATAAGAGACGAAGGCACGATTTGTGCTACAGACAAAGTAATTCTCGTGTTGATGTAAATTAAACAGTAACAGTCAAATAAATTCAAAAGTTTACAAAGTAGTCAAAGATCTAGGCTGTAAGCTGGCGCGTAAGTTTAGAAGCTATCTTTTGGTGAGAGAATACAAAAGCCAGAATAATCACTTTTAAGTAGCTGGTGAAATTCTAACAGCGCGGCGCAAGTGTCAGAAACTCTCTTAAGAACTTATATTGGTTTCCAGCAGGTGATGTATTAACTGCTCTTTCCAGTTCCTTGATGTATCCCATGTTGGGCATGACGGTTGTGATTCCGTATAGTGATTTTCATCTGAAAAGGGAATCTCCCTAAGATTCAAAACTTTCAGCTTATATACTCTAAAAGCTAATTTGCATTTTGGTGAGGAATATAGAACGAAGATCAAAACCATAATAACTTATTAATTTAACATAAACACCTTACATACGACATATTACTCGTATATCGGCAAATAAATTACCGTTAACGGACTTTTAGCCGTGACGTTACATTGGATATTTTCGTGCTGGATTTAATTACGTTACTCTTTCTTGTACTGTTTCATAGTCAATCAGTGATATTGTTCTACTTTAATTCATTCTATTAACCTTCTTTAAAAATTAAAGGAAAACATTATGGCTATATATAAAGGTTTAAATTTTGAAACAAAACTACTGCAGAAACAAAAGAATCGAATTTAGTTTAAATATTACGCTGAATAACAATCAAGAACAAAGTCCAACATTAAGAATCAGCGTAAATTTTTAAAAATCTTTTGCAGTACTAGTTTCGATAGTTTTAGATAGAAGGTAGCTCAAAAACTATGGAAATTAGTCCTGCAAAAGATTTTTAAAAATTTAAGCTGATTCTTAATGTTGTGCTTTGTTTTTGAAAAGAATCGAACATAAAATTCTTTTATCTTATCTTAAATTATTTTTAATCTTCTAGAAATTCTCCTCCCCCCAAAGCTACTGAAATTTGTAAAATTGTTTTTCTTCTTTTTCTTTGAAATGTAAGGGGGAAAACAGCGATATATAGCTTTTCTCTTGAGAGAGTTCGTGTATCTCCTGAAATTCTCTTATTTCTCCTACTTACGTATACATGTACTGCAGTTTTGGGGGGGGGATTGAAACGTAAAGTATAACTTTCAAATATCTGATACTCATGAATAGAAATTGAGTTAGTTAAAAACGGCATGATAGACAAAGATTTTTTCTTAAAAATTATAGAGATTGGTTCTCTTTGGTAGAATAAATTAGTGTCTAAACTCCTAATAGATTTAGAGCGAATTTTCGCTGCGTCTGAAGGTAACGACAAAGACTTAGATGGTTACAAAATAACCATTTTTATTAAAACCATTTTTATTAAATCAGAACTTTAATATAAACATACGCCTCATACTTGGTAACCTCAGCCACCTTCCGTGGCGAGATAACTTAAAGTAACAGTCAATCTCAAGATTTAATACTAAATCTAGTAGCCAAAGGCTACATAATTGATTTAACGTGAAGTTGGCTCAAATCTCTTACTAGCGTAAAAATTTAAACGTCGGCAACTATAATGCAAAATCGAAGATTGTCTGAGCTAGCGAAACCTAGTAGTGGCCTCGAGAAGAAGAAACGAGCCCTATATACATTCCGTAAAACCTCAGTTTAAATAGTCTGAAATTAATTTTCATTCTGGTAGGAAAAACAGTAAAGATTTAAATCATAAAATAACTGGTTATGCAAAATTATAATAACTTTGCAAAGCGGATACTCTATCAACAATGGGGATGACATTGATTCGCGTATGCTATAAAACGTTTTCCCTTCCATTTCAAGTGATTTTTGCCATTTTGTAAGGAAATTTCTCACTGGACTACCACCGATCTTTATGATATTCCTGAAATGGTTGTCCAAAACTATTAAGCTGCAGCTATTTATAATTTATTGTAAGCATAGATCTCATAATTTGGAATAATTTATCCGTTGCATGATCAAGATGAGTGCAGCTGCTCGAAATAATATTTGTTCTATATATTTTCGAGCTGATGAGTGGCCGAATATGCATTTGGAAGGCAGCTGGACGCTGATGATTTGTCTCAGTTTCAGTTCTCCCGAAAAGAAGTGATTGCTAAAGGTTCTTGTGGCATTTTTCTTATGGGACTTTATAAATACGAGAAAATATTCTTTATGATACTTTCTCAAAAGTGACTCAGTAAACCAACAACCCTCGTTTTTCGAAAGATTACAGAATTTTGCCGTACCCGTCGATAAACCTTTTTATATATTCACTGAGAAATATTAGCAATGTACCTTGACACGACGAGTTGTGCAAACGTGTTGGAGACTATGGTACACTGCGGGGGAAAAAAAAAAAAAAAAAAAAAAGACCGTTTTATATCTTCCATTTACTGCCCGATTCACGAATTCACTGTCGTTTTCATGTCTCGAAAGCGCGCCTTAGGATATTAGTTATTCTATCATTGTTCTAATATACATATATGACCAAAATCAGACTTTTTCTGAAATAACATGCCAATTTTTTTCCATATTTTAATTCTATGACTCAAATTACGCCAAACTAAAAGTTTTTGTAAAAATCGCACGAGTTTTTAGAAAAAGCTCTCAAAATTTTAGCTCTTCCTGTTTATTGTGTTTGTATATTTTATTAATCTTTCTTTTTTTATTAAGCTTATTTGATTCTTCCTTTCACATTTCGCAATACAGGTTCATTTCAAATAAAATTCCTTCGTTTTTTACGATTTATTTTTAAAATTCGTGTTTTAAAATAATTTTCATAAATTTTTCAAAAAAAAATTTGAATTATAATCTAAACATTTTTTACCATTATCTTAAAGTAGATGTATTTCTAAGCATACCTGCAAAAAATTACAAATTTTTATTCAAAATTTCCGAAGATATATATGAATTTATATATTGACGCGTTTTGAAATTTGGCATATTTTTTGAAAGCGATAAAACATCAAATAAAACCAAGGTGGCATTTTTCCGCTCATGCACAATGTAAAAAGGTGAGAAGAAGGTGCCCTTTTTTTCGCTCCGGCGTAATGGAATGGAAAGGAAAATGGGTTGTCATATATTAAGAAGTTCGCCAGGTGAATTATTTTTGGCTCAAACTGAAAAAAATTGCGCCAAGATAAATTTTTGAATTTCGTCGTAAATTTCGCACCAAATTTTACAAAATTTAATATCTAGGCATAATTTGAGGCGTAGAATCGAAATATGGAAAAACAAATTGGTATTTTATATCAGAAAAATTCCTATTTTGTGTGAAAATACCTATATTAGAACAATGCTATGTAAAAATCTAATATATATCTCAAGTCGCGCTTTCCAGACATGAAAAACGCAGTTTGAATTTTGTCAATCGGCCCAGTAGAACGGGAGATATAGAATTGTCCCTCCCCCCTTTTTTTTGGAGCAGTGTACATAGTCTTTCCTTCTGTTTATCTTAAATGTTGATATTTTTTAAAAATATTTTATCGCATTTCTTATGCCTTCTTTGGCCTTCTGTTGTGTCTATTTTTACACAATATTAAAGGAAAAAACTGTAATGCAATACTTGTTTTCTTAACATTTGTTGAGTCAACTGGAATTTGATTTTCAATTTTTTGTGATTGATTTATCAACAACTGTTAAACTTTTATGGTAAAGCAAAATACTTAACCTTATGCAAGACAAAAGCACTTACGATCCTATGCCTCTCAACAGAAACTCAGCGCTTCTGCATTCAATACTTGCTTCTACATCGTCCTCTGAGCTACAGTCGAAATCTTAAAAAAAGGTTTTGAAAATTACACTTACAAGAAACATAGCAGTAATAACATACTCAGATGCAAGCAGACACATAAATAACTAGAAGTATCAGATTGTTATTCCTGGCGAGAAAAATGTAACTACACATATCAGCGTTTTTCTATCAGTGCTCACATCGTGCTGTGTAGGAATTCTTCGACAAATAAATGATGAATATGCTAATCGTATATAAATGCATGGTTATTTCTTGAAATCGTAAATCCGTGAAATATTCTAAAAATTTATAATAAATAACATGCTTAAATGGTACCAAATTTTGTTATGACCAAAATCGATACCGAATTTTATTACGAATTATTTATGTATTTTAATTTCTGAAGAAAAAAGAAGTTTTCCTCCAAAATAGAAACTAGCTCATTAAGGTTTCTTTTAGACATTTCACAAACATTCAATATGTCCATCTTTGGTGGTACTACAGTCACTGGAAAAGATTTACTTGGACATATTAGAAGCTGATCGATGCCAGAGTTGAATGAAAACAAAAATAGTCATCCATCTTCCTACCATAGAATTTTAATTATTGAGACCATTAGCAAGAGTATCTCAGCCGAACCTCCCGGGATTATCTCAATCTAAATTTGCTGCAAATTTAGAAACCATCTTGGAGAATATCTCAATCAAAATTTTCCACAAAGATAGAGATGGAAAAATATCTCAATGGAAGTTTGACACTAAAAGGGAAATTTAACAGCGCAACCAATAGCTGTCAAAGTTTCTGTCCTGAATCAACAACTCTGTGTTTATATTTTCTTTTCGACAGCAATCTACAAACACACTAACATCCCAAACTGGAAAAATTCATGAATATACGGAGTCCGTCATCAAAAGACATCTCAAAATCAACAATGTTCAGAAACTTAATAATGAAATTGAAATTTTAATAAGAGGCCATTAATGATGCAGCCTGTATTTCCTCTGAACAAATCCGTATACGAAAAGCCTCTTTCAATGTATTATCTTATATCCGACACAATATCAAAATGCGTAAGAGAATTCGTAAGTATCAAAGTACACATGATCCCGTAATTAAAAGACAGTACAATGCTTTAATCAAGAAGAAATGAATCAACTTTTAAACAGTCTTCTAGTGGAAGATAACTCCTGAGATGCTATTTCACATAAATTTCGGGGAAAAAATAACCTACCACTATCTTCCCACTTTTTACGGCATCATCGATCTTCCTTACAATGATGAAGACAAAGCTAATGAGCTTGCAGACAAAAGAAACAACATTTCAACATAATCCAACATCTTACAATGATAACATAATTACGTTTTTTAAGAAAACTGTTCGCAACTATTATTTTTGCACTCTCCTTCAACAACAAATTTTTCCTTTGTTGTCCCACATACTTTAGAAGACAACATTTTAAGGAAACCCAATATTTGCAAAGCTAGCGTCCATGGGCAGGATAATATAAAATATCTACCTTTAAAAAATATGCGACTAAAAAGCATCACTAGCATTGCAAAAATTATTGACGCCATTCTCAAACCCTGTCACTTCTCTAGTTGTTGGAAATTTTTTAAAAATCAAATCAAAATAACATTTTTACCCCAAATTATCGACCTATTAACTTACTTAATTTTATTTCTAAAACTGCAGAAATAGTCATACTACACTATATTCAAACCACTATTTCACCTTCCTATTTCCTACCATAGAATTGCATATGGAAAAACTAGTTTGCTGTTGAGTTCCCTATAATTTAACTGAGGGCCAAAAATAGGAGCTTGTCAGAATCACTGAAGAAATTCTTAAATTACTTAAAGATGGTGGCCACCGCATTATTTGTAAAATCATAACTGGCGATGAAACTTACATACCATTTTTTGACGTTCCAACATATCAAGAAAGTAAAGTATGGATTTTTTAAGATGACCCCTAAACAACAATGGGAAAAGACAATTAGCAATGAAAAAGTAATGTATGCTGTTTACTTCAGAAGTATAGGACTGGTCGAAGCCATGGAGTTAAAAGGGACAGAAGACAGCTGCAGCTAACTGGTACACTATCAGATACCTTCCAGAAATTTTTCAAGAAATGAATATTAGGGTATTCATGCTTCATCATGATACTGTATCTTCTCATTCAGTAAGACTGATAATCGAATTTCATGAATAAAAGCACATCGAAGTGATAGAAACATTCTTGGCAAATGCTTTCGCAGTAGTTCGTCTTGCGACGGTTCAAGAATTTCACCTCTAGCGTCGCAATAGGAATGCCCCCGTCTGTCCTTCTTAATCATTACCTCGTATTCCGAAAACCAACAAAATAGAACCGAGGTCCTATTCCATTATTCCATGCACCATTATTCAGGCGTCACGCCTGCTTTGAGCACTCTAATTTTTTCAAAGTAAACTTGCCGGTCACCCAAGACAACCGGTGAAGATCATCAAAGGAAACCGGCTGGCTGTTCAGAACAGGCAGTAACCACCGGTAGGCGGACCACCCGTCTGGAACTGAGATCCAACTACGAGCTTTTTAACCGCAACAACTTTAATATACGCTATTGGAGCTGGAATTACCGCGGCTGCTGGCATCAGACTTGCCCTCTAATTGATCCTCGTTAATCCTTTGTTCTCATTCCTATTAGGGCTATTTTTAAATGTGATGCAAAATTTAAGTGGCCGTCGTTTTCATTCCAGATATGAGACTGACGAAGCTATAAAAACATAATTTTCATCAATTCCAAGAAATGGTTAGTTCCAAGCATTTAATCATTGGAAAATTCTTATACAAAAATGCCCTGATGTTGGAGGAAACTACTTTGAACACACCTAAGATTTGGTAATTTTCACTTGTATCATTTAGCTATATTTCAAATAAGAAATAGTTCATTACGAATCGATTTAAAATTCGAAACCATCAAAAATACATTTCCAAAACTACTCACAATTTTTACTGCAATATTAAGCATCATCAAAACACTATAATTTCATTTGAAAATCAAACACAACCGTAAGAAAAGCACGCATACCCAACTGATTCTCTTCTTTTGTAAAACTCAGCGTCATTTTAAGGCGGCATTTTGCCGTCTTTCATACAAAGAAAAATTTAAATGTTTTTGAGAAAAATCATAATAACGAATAAAAATTATCAGAATTATAAGCTCTCAAAGATTTTCATTTTAGATGCAGTTTCAAGTAACTTTCAGTTCTTTTTTTAATGGCAAACTTAAAATGGTACAGAAGATACTTTGCAGTGAGCTTTGCTGCCCTTTTATTTCTTTCATTTAATTATATAAGTTTAGAGAAAAATATAAATAAATTCTAATAATATTCCGACTTCCTTTCGTATCTTTGCAGCATAGTATTATACGAATACCCCTGTTTTTATGAATTTAAATCTAGTTGCTTTATTTTTAGCTGCTGGACAACTGGAAATAACTTATTCCTATTCTATAATCGAAACTAGAACTCTGAATCATCCCAAGTTTTGCTTGAATACGTTTGAGAAATTAACTATAGTTAAGAAATAAAAATTTCAACTAAAAATTCTTATATTACAAAAGGCAAAGGGAAAAAATGTGTGTAGCTGAATATACTCAGCTGATAAATATTTATTAATATTTAACAATGTTTTCACCTCAATCAAGTTTTTGATTTATTTTGTTAAATTTACTGCTCACTGTTGCGCAAAGTTTGACTTGTACGCTATAAAATAAAACAATAAAATGATTTATCCACTTTTATCTTTATTTAATATTATGTATTTATTTTTAAAATTTAATTTTATCTTATCGCCAAGTCTCAAAATGCATATACAACTTTAAAGTTCGATTTATTCTCTACTTCTTAGATCTCTTATTCTTGTCCCATCCAGTTTTCACGCGCTTGCTCATTGAATTCGTTATAGAATTGGAGGGTTTCTAGTATGTAGTAATATAATATTTATTTAGTTACTTACTAAATATCTGTGTTGTCCTTTTCTCGTATACACCCCTCGTCCAAAATGGTAATGTAAATTTTAGACCTCGAAACTTTTCGCAAATTTTTATTATTTACCTAGTGACGCTCAGTGAATTTTTCCTTTTCCCCGCAGTAAAGTTACAGCTATATATGTGCAATCAATAATCATTTCGTAATAATTACATTGAAAATGATTTCACTGACTTCGTAAGAAATTTAGCAATATTATACAAAATTAAGATTCGAAAACCATTGTTTAATGACATCGTTGCTGTTAAAAGATCCAAATAAATAAAATAAAATAAAATAAATATAAATGTAATTTCTTACATTCAGCACTGTCTTCTGATGCCCGCTTTTCTCGTTTCAGCTGAAAAGTTAAAATATGAAAGTAAATATGAGTTACACTTCGAAATAGTTCAAGGTCTAAGAATTCATTTCTAATTTTTGCACCTTATTAACAGCTGTTGTTCTAGATTAAAACAGGAATTATTCAAAGTAACTATTATTTGTAACAAAGGTAAGGAAAAGAACATCACGAAAAACTAAATATCAAAGTAATTAAAAACAAACAACAGTAACTGGCAACCATCTATTGAGCGAAAGAGGAAAAAAAAAAAAAAAAAAAACTAAAATACGAATTCTTGAAAAACCAACAATAAAGAGGGATTAAAATTGGCTCATTAAAATCAGAAGCGGATATGAAACTCCTTCAGGATCTTCCGCTTCTGCTCTGTCACTGAGAAGCGCTCTCTCCGTTTCATGGCATGTATACATTGCTGAAGTCAGCTCAAGAATCTATATCAATATCGAAGTTATTTACGAGACTATGATACTGCTAAAGTTCCCGAACAAGACAATTTTGTAGAAGTATTAAACACAAAAATTAAACTTATTTAATAAAAAAATTTTCTAAAATTCTCACTTTATAGATCTTTATTTTCGGGAAGTCGCAGTTGTCAGTTGAGCAAATATTTTCATCTACAGAATTGGTCAAAAGCTTACATTTATTGGCCTCGTGTCCGAAATAAAAGCAAGATTCGCTGTCTTTGAAACACAGTGAAGCACATTCTGTCTTCGAACCTACTGAATATTCGGCGTACACCCAGTCTGGATCCAGCCTTCCAGAGAAGTTTAGAGAAAACTCATACTGCCCATTGACAGAAATATTTATGAGCTCGATTATCAAAATTGCTACTATTAAGTTTGCCATCTTTAGTGAAAGACGTCTGCAGATGTTTTGAAAATTTTTAAAGTGCTTATACAGTTATTTATCTTGTTTAAAATGTTATTTAATATCACTAGTTATTGTTGAAGCACAAACCTCATTCAAGATTACATCCTCTATAGAGTAAAAATAGCTGCACGAAATTAAACTGCGGACTTCCCAATGTGCGTGCGCTATTTCAATTCGATTGTTATCACTCTGCTTCCAGAAAACTTGATTTTTTACGCTAAAATTTAATGTAGTAGTACACTCTTTGTATAAGTAAAAACTAATTCCAACGTATTTAACAAAATTCGTTTTGAAAGGCAAATAACTGGTGAATGTATTACTGCAATATTCCCGCAACGAAAACTGGTTTTAGAAGACTAGTAGAATATGTTTCAAAATTCTGGAACTACTATAATACATCTTTGAATGCAAAATAAACAAAATATTACAGAAATTTCTTTCTTTAATGCGGCAACTGTGTAAGGATTATTTTAAGAGATATTTCTTTATGTTAATTTTATCTTAAACTTCTACGCTAAGGCTGCCTCACCAAAAATATAAATTAGGTGGGTTTTAAATAGCTGTTTTGATTCGAAATCAGACTTGGTTTTTATATCCAATTTATTTTATTTACGAACACATACAGACGATTATTAACATGTAGAGTTTAGTATAAAGATAAAGTGTTTCGTACATCTTGATGATAAAAATTCCGTATTTCAGTAATGTAACTAACTTAACTGCTTAGAATGTGATCAAATGATCTGTACATCTTAATGATGAAACACATTCAGTATTTCCGTAACTTAACTGCTTAGAACGGGAATTTTTCCGATCATAATATATGAAACTGGTTGCCAGATTCATACATCAAACTTAACAAAGAAAACAACTCTTAAATAATGATAAACGGGAAATACTAAACTTAATAGGAGTCATAACAATAGCAAACGAATGTGTAAGTCAAGGAGAAAGAGTTTTGTAATGCGACCAGGAAAGCTGCTCCTCTAGTGTTTCTATTCACCCACTAGTTATACTTATTTTAAAGTCTTCTGGATTTTGCTAGTATTTATACTTGAAGGTTGCCCATAATTAGAAGCATAATAATGGGTATTATGTCACCCTCTTTGTTCTGCACATGTTGTTTTGCAGGCTTATCTTTTCAGAGCTCCAAAGGAATAGTGATTGGGTTGCTACATATTTAGTATCTCAAACTTTTAGTTTAGATGTTAATCTTATTGTATTCATTTGTCTTCTAGTATTTAAATTGAAAAGTAAGAACGAGTAAGTCATCTGGCGCGATAAAAAGGATAAACCATGTTTAGCTTAAGTATCAGTTATGTTTAATATGGAATATAAATTTTAGACTGACAAGCAATAAAACTGTAAAAAGAAAACACGATGTACACTTTCAGGACTTTATTGAAATTTAGTCTCAGTTCGATAGAAAAAGCAAATGAAGTTTCTGATTAATTAATTAAATACGGAATGCAATAAATCTTCGACAGAATTGTTCTGATTATAGAAAAAAAATATGCTCAAGTTCAGTTTTGTTCTCCGCAAATTCTTTGATTTTTCCGACAATACTTATCTTTTTAAATATTGTTGCGTGAAAACGGGTTCGTAATAGATTGAATGCACAAGTCCGATAAAAGGTTAATAAAATTTATTCTGACCACAAGAAATATAACAGAACGCTGAATTTTTCCTCAGAGGTATTCGTACAATATCTCAATATCACGCAGTATAAACAGTAGTTATACTTTAAACTACTAAAAACGTTAAAAAGAACGCAATCTACAGCGCAGAGAAAGCTAATCCAATCAACAATAACAACAGCAGCTAACTAAACAACTGCGATGTTTTTCTCCGGCTTTCTGAAGCTTTCAATCGGTCGCGAGAGAGTTCTAGTAATTTCTTTGCTTCTCGAGATATCTGGAAACCAACAGAGTAAAATTACTATTACAGCTAACATAGTAGTCAATTACATTTATTCAAATTAAATATAAATTAAAGAGATATCCATTTATTCAATGTTAAATACACGTGTTTTTATACTTTTACTTTTTCGGCGTAGCTTTTTCTTAAAATTTATGAAGCGCTGCATTGCACGGGGAAATGAAATAATTTTAATTATAATTCTACTAACATTAACTATCCAAGCACATAATTCGTAACAATGGAATATTTCATTGAGTAATTTGTTATCAGATAATTCATCAAAATATTTTCCTTTGGATGTTAAATTATTTCTGCAGTATTTTGAAGAGGTGATTCATTTGTGTGATTTAGTTTCTTCGTTAGTTTTTCAAGTAGAAGTGCAACTAGAATAGCAGTCAAATTCTATCTCTCTTTTTATGGATCTCTCAGGCTACCAGCGGTCGCGGAGATAAGATTGCTGAACACTTGTAATGCGACCTACGGTGAAGTCTTGGCAAAGTGTGGGAGTGCATGAGAGTTCCGTAGTTATTCCCTATATATAACGTGAATACCAGTTAGTATTGCCTTAAGTTCCTATCACATATATTTCCGTTACGCGGGACTGGACGTCGAAAGGGACATTTCTCAGAATACGCACATTTTCACAAAACTTACGTAGCTAGGTTACCATTTTTACTTACTAAACAGACTTGTACGCCAAACAGGAATCGATTATTGCTCATATTGGCATCACGCGATCCTTCAGAAGCAGAACTTTCGTCTGATTGGTTGATCTCTACCCAGGCCAGAGCTGCAGACGAAACATTGTCGGCGAAGTTTCAAAAATATCCCGCGTAGCCTGGACATCGTTTTCGTAGCTAGGCGAGACTTCGCTTCCAGCGGAGCTGTTTTTTCTAGGAATCCTCGCGTTTAAACCAGTGCTACCAGAATCTCGTTTCTCAAAAAAGTCTCGTCTAGCGGGGACCGTCGCTAGATATGATAACCACTTTAGAGTGTTTTCAACGTAGGCACTTCTCTCCGTATGTAGATAGCTTTGTCAAAACCTAATGATAAATTCAGTCCAATTCATGTGGACTTCACGAGTTCCCTAAAACATACATTTAAAAAGCAGGATTATTTGATTACCGAATATATATTTGATCCCACAAAAACACCTTCATAACCTTATGGAGCGTAATAAAGTTCATGTTAATTACATTACGTAGAATGCGAGATATTTTCTGGGACAGATTCTGAAGTGGATTTACTGCATTGCAATGAGGTACTGCATCGCATAATTCGGGATGTCTTGGTCATTAAGCTCTCGGCTGCGCTCAAAAGATATGTGGCGTTTTAACCGTAACTGGACTTTTGAACTCTTATTTACTTTCTGACTGTTTATTTAATTGTATTATTTCATATACTGAAAACTGTAACTTTGGCTGTAAAGAATCTGTATGTATGTTTGGTACCACATCAGATCTCGATCGGGTCACTATTTGGTATGAGTGAGAACTTCTCCAGTTTATTGTCCATTCCAGAGTGGTGACTCGCACGTAGTCTGGTATCACATCAGAATATACCGATGCTTCAGAAAAGACATTTGGAGCTGTAATACAAAAACATGTTGGTAATAAGGTTGAATCCTTAGAGCTTTATTCCAGGAAATCAACACCTTCTGAATGTAAATACAGCTTTTATGATAGATAGCTTTTGGCAATTTATTCAGCAATTAAAGTTTTCCGGCACATGGTCGAAGGTCAAGATTTCGTGGTATTCACCGATCGCAAAATTTTGATTTATGCTCTACAACAAAAAACGTGATAAAGCAACACTTCGTCAAATCTGTCATTTAGAATTTATAAACTGGAGAACTTATCAGCTATTCCAAAATGGTTTATTCGGACGCGATATTTGAAGACAACATTATGTTGCAATGTTGTAAAGGCAAGATGTAAACCAGTTAGCAATGTTAATGGTCCGCAGTTCTTAAAAAGATAAGTAAGTAAGTAAGATCAATATTTTATCTTAAAAATTTTTAACTGCTCGAATTTTGTGCTTTATTTTATATTTAATTCCATTTAATAAGCCAAAGTTTTTCGAAATATTTAGTTCCATTTAATTAGCTAAAGTTTTTGAAATTTAAATGTCGCGTAATAGTGAAACTCAAAATGTCGAATTCTCTAGAACTGCTTTCCGTGCACTTTCATTCAGAAAAATAACCCAGAATTATGATTCATACAATTAGAATCAAATTTTCATTTATCTAGTGTCACATCAGATCACGTGCGAGTCACCACTTTAGAATGGGTCATAAACTGTAGTTCTTATCGCCCTTTCGATGTAACTGTAACCCTAACCATGTAACTGTAACCATATCTGTATATCAATTAGTAACGAAATTTCCAAAAGTTTCTTTCAGAAAACGTTCATTTATTTAAGAAAAATTTTCGCGAATATCCTCTACATTGTCTCGTTCTCAAAACCGAAAGTTTTCGTGTAGCTAAAAGTCTTATCTTCCTTGCAATCTTTTACAACACCAAGACGGAACATTCAGATAAGTAGAACTTCTTTTCTCTAAGCTAAATCAAATATATGTCACTAAAGTACCTTTAAATTCATTTATTTATTATGATGACTATTATTATGCTCATTTTAATATGTTCTGGCATTAAATACTTAGTTAATTGCTTTAAATCATGTGTTTATCCTTTTTTGTTTTTTGTTTTTTGGTTACCATCTGGTAGGGATACTATTATTATCAGTAGCCTTTATCAGTAGTGTAGTCTGTTAGCTCTACCCATTGGGGCCCCTTGAAGAATTTCTCGAGAGGCAAAAAACACGATACTGGGCCTCAATGAATGCATAGATTTGTAGTTTTTGCTCCTTTAATCTGTGGCGTTCCGACAGATACTTCAACTTCTATTCATGAGATGGCGCCACGTGTAAAATCCAGTTCTTAATCGGAGCAGCAAAGCGACGTCATTACTCACTCAGACTTCTCGTCAGAAACTGTACGCGACGGTAGCATGAACTGTGTTCCGAGGTCTGCGTTGATCTCTGCAATGTAATTTAAATTGTAATTTAGTACTTAATATATTCTTTTGTTATAGGAGATTGTCTACTCTTATTTTTCTTTAATTATATCATGCATTAAGCACACGACCACCAAAACTGGTGACCTTTTGACTGAGCACGCTACTGACAATGGATTTTCAACGACCCTA